TAGAATTCTGCTAGATGACCAATTATTCTGATAGACAGCAAACTGTAGCAAAGATTTCAGATAACTGATACCCAGAATATCCATTTTGTCATTTGATAAATGGGGATATTGTCTAATTAGCTTGGAGTATTGTTTTGAGGTTTAGAGAGTAATAATAATAATAATAACAATAATAATTCTACTCCCTTCTAAATAATATATTTTCAATTTAACTTGAATATTAATGGAAATAAAATATTTTATGGGAATTTCAAATACTGTGTCAGAAAGGCAATGGGGGAGATAGAAACTTTAGTGACCCTGAGATCACATAACGTAAAACTTTAATCCCATTTTTTTACATTCAGATTGATCCTACATAGAACTCAGTTGAGTATATGCATAATCTTTTATAATTTTTTTTATAATCTGAAGGGAAAGATTTACCTAGTTATGTGATTTTGAGCACAACACTGTGCCAGTTTCTTCATCTATAAAATGGGATAATAATAGACACTACCTCATAGGGTTGTGAGGATTAAATGAGTTATTATCTGTAAAATAGAATAGAACAAAGCCTAGCAATAGTAAACACTATATAAATGTTAACATTGATTATTATTCTTTAATACATTGTTTCTTAAACTGTAGGTTAAAATGCATTGACAACGAAATACACTTAATATGTCTGTTACATTCACTTTAGAGTTTATTGCAATCTAAGCCTGAAAATTCAAACATTCCTAACATCAGCCTTTCCTATTTTACCTTTTCTGGCTATTCCTTTTTGCTTTCTTCCTCTTACTTCCATTCCAATTCCACAGAACATAAGTTAAAACTTGAAGAAAAGAAGTGCTATGTGACACTATTCAGGAAAAGGAGGTTAATAGTTTTTAAGTATCTGGTTCTCATCTTATTTAAAGCATGAAAATAGGAATTGGAATCTTGTAGATTAGTATTGATTTGGCAGGTAAGAGGAGAATGGAGCCCCAAGGAGAAAGTCTAGTCAATGAGGGGAAGTAACTTTGTACTGGCAGGGACAGTAGCATTAAGCTAATATGGGAAGTAAAGTGCATGGGGAAGAGGATAGATAGGAAAAAGATAAAAGTGCTCTGAGAAAGTTAAAGAGCATCATTATGGTCGTAATTCTGACAAGCAGAAATAAATGAAAAGCTACAGAGAAAAATGGGATGGAAAAGGAAACAGTTGAGAGTCTTTTGTGAAACTGAAGGATCTTGTAGCATTTGACTTGCTGCTTAAAAATATTTCAAACAAGTTTTTGTTGTTGTTGTTGAGAATCAAGGAAGGGGGAAGAGGAGGCTTTGGAACCATCAACCTACACCTAGTTTCTCTTTCTTGGAAAAGAGCAGAAGGTGTAAAGGAAATCATAAGCCTGTTGGTAGGCTCAATTAACATTTATTTGACTTTTCTTACCACTCCTGCATAAAAATAAAATGAATTTACATTGAATGTTTGCATTTCACCCTATCCTTTTTGCTTCCGTATTCTTAATAACTGATATTAGCAAGTCATTATCAATAGAGCAGTAAATATAGACAAGAGGAAAACATTTGCCGCAAACCATTTATCAGGCCACATGGCAGAACTGGCCTTCAAATTTATAACCTCGAAATTCTTGCTTTTATTACTACCAGACGTCCATGACTACTGAAGAAATTCTAGACCACCTAGTACCAGTCGGTTGTATCTTCTGTCTGTGCTGCTTTAAGTTGAGACAATGCGTAGGGTCCCCTACCCCACCCCCAGTCATTTGGAATTTTTACATGCATACAGGCACACACTCTCACTCCTGCTGGCAGCTAAGATGGTGAGGTAGGAGGCCATGCAAAACCTATCTAATAGCTATTTCCTGGGGGGGGAGGGGCTGGGGGTGTGTAGCTCAGTGGTAGGGTGCATGGAGTTCAGTTCCCAGTATCTCCATTAAAAAAATAAAAAAAGAATAAGAATATTTACTAACCAATACATAAACTGACTTTAAACTGACTTTTAAACATTGATGAAGACCATCAGTAGGTGGGGATTACAATATTCATTACCTCATCATGTTTATTTTTTCTAAGGCCTGTATTCTCTGTGTCCATTCAATTCTGTTTCTGAGATAAAGAGCCATTACCACTTCTTTCAGTGCTTTTGTTTGACATTATACAATCAATTTTACTGATAATTTCCAAAAATCCGTAAGTAGACCTGCAAAAATGTGGGTTAATGTGCACCTCCCCATCTACATCAGATCTATGTAAATGTACCCTGCTTAGTTTCACTTGAGTTCAAACCTGTATCTTTGAGGCCAAGACCTTGGGAATTCAAGGGCAAAGTGAATTTAATTTGGTACATTTTGTACTTTGATGAATAATGAAAAAGAAAAGAAAAAAAAAAAGAAACCCTCAAAGCTTCACTGGTTCTAGTCACATTTGCCTGTTGCTATTTCTCAACCCATTGTACATAAAATCACCAGCACAAAAGATCCTTCCCTCAAAAAACAGATTCCTGGAGAAAGCAAATCAAAAGAACAGGGGAGGGGAAAACGTGCTTGATTTCTCAAAAGTCTATGTACTGTCCAATTGATTTTTGGTCCTTAGGTCCTTGGATGTGCTAGCAAGTAATTAATTTTTATGGCTCATAAAATGACTACTGAACGTGTACCATTAACTGCAGTTTGAAATCACTTTTTAAAAAATCTGTCATTTTGGTTTCTAAAAAAAATTTTTTTTTTTCCTCGCTAGACAGGAGCCAAGTGCTGAGAGCTGACCAGATGCCAAGTCTCAGGACTGTCCCGTCTTCCACATCAGACCTTCAGCCGGGCCTTCTGAATATCCTCGAGGTTAGAAAATCTATTCCCCAGACTCGCAGATGCTGTTCTCCCCCCACTGGCTCTGCACAGAACATCATTATCTTTGCTGAGCTTCTGTCTCTATGGCAATAACAGATGGGAAATGCTGCGGAATTATTCATGTTCTGGAAAGGAGGCAGTCAAGAAGGAGGGGAAGGTGGTGGGGGGTGGGAGAGGGGGCACGACCTGGGAGAAAGGCGATGGGGGTGTGAGGCACGGAACTTGGGAGTGGAGGGAATAAGAGGCTTCTGAGCTTCTGGTAGGCCCGTTGGGAGGAAAACGGGGGGTGGGGAAATCTATGAGCACAGGAGCATTCCCAGTTGGCTGCCTCAAAATGTGGACCCCACATGAGTGACCTCGAAGCAGTAAAACCAGGAGAAATTGGACGACAATGAGCAAAAAGAAAAAAATAAAAAAAAGTAGGAGACAAAGCTCGAGTCTTCTGAATTCGGTGCACCGAGACCTGGAGGACTGTTTCAGTTCCTGATCTTGCGGTGGGGTGCAAAAAAGGGGTTTTTCTTGGTGTTTCGAAATATGACGGAGCAGCTCGGCAGAGTTCAATATGCTAATTGGCTAGCCTGGGAACACGGACCAGGACACCACTCTGTTGGGCCCTCAGGGTCACAGCCCAAAGCTCTGAAGTCGTTGCGTTTCTAGTCTCATCTGGTGTTCTCCTCCAAAACAAAACCCCAAACCCTTCAGTAAACACGGTAGAAACATGTAATTTCTAGGTCCCTTTTGGAACCGAGAGAGCAGTCTGGTGAGGGGGTGGGGGCGAAGGGAGGCTGAGAAGTAGAGACAAAAATGTTGTCTCTCGGTTTTGC